CCCCAACCCCACACCAAACACTACCGGAAGGAGAAAGGAAGTTATGGTAATCGGAAGCGGGTATGATAGCTCGCTTTCGAGGATTGATTGATTACCTTTTCCAAGGTGGTGGTGGTGGCACCTTCCCCGTTTGGCACTATCGAATAAATTTCGCGATCAAGGCAGCTTGTTCAACCCATAGATGTCAAGCTCGAAAAAGTTTCGCTTTTATTCACTCCTGCGAACTTCTAGAATCTGCATCGAAGGTGTCGACTCGTCACAAACCCCTACTACGGCACCTGTATCCGGCGGTACGGTAGGCAGCGTTGTTCGCATATCATTAGAGCCTCTGTGCAACTGGACTTCAAAAGGCTAGGTAGAGGGTTGGGTGTCTAGCCTTCGTAATTGTTGATTTACCTGGAGGCTAAAGCCCAGTTCTGTCCTGCGGTAGTGTCCCTTGGGGGGTACCCTTGAGGTTGTTGTGCAAAGGCTCTATCATATTGCATACCTAGGAGGTCTACCTTTTCAGTACGCTGGCCGGAAATGCACTCGGGATACCAGCACGAGAAAAACTGTTGAAAAGGTAAAAACATTGGCAAATAATTGCCTCACCTTTCACCCCCTCATAAAACGGCGAAGAAATTTTTTTAAAGAAGATAAGGGAGGAAAAACTTGATGAATTGTCAGATTTTCTTTTCCTTTCTTTCTGCGACCAGAAAGGACTTCCCTTTGCCCGTCCGGCCGTTTCCCAGCCGCGTGCCTTCTGTGATGTTCCGCACTAAGAACTCCAGGGAAATCGCTAAGCCTTCATCCCCAGACTCCGCCAATCTTTAGAAGTTGTGGAACGAACACTGGAAAGGTGTCTGGAGGTTTAGAGTTATTTTCAAATGTTTTTGTCACTTTTTTGGGGATTCATTTTGGTCATTTGGGGATAGGAGACTGCCGGATGAGCATTTTCTTGTTCGTCGCTACCAAATGTGAAAACATTTTGGAGTGGTACAGTACTGTACAAGACAAGGGTCAGAAGGGTAACACTGAATGCAGGATGATGTTTAATGAGTTTCCTCGGCGATTAAAGACAGCCAAGAAAAAAAAAAAAAAAAAAAAAAGAAATGTTCAGCCTCGGAGAAACGAAGAAAGAAAAAAAAAAAAAAAAAGAGAGAGGAGATAACGGACCTTACCAAGGAGGCAACTCCAACGACATAAAAGTAGAATTTGGTCTGATTATTTGAGCTTTTATCATTTGGGTTTTTACAATAAGTTAGCCCCTATGGGAGGGGCCAGTGATAATATGGTAGATTCCCTCCGTTTTTTTTTTTACTTATTTTCTTTTCTCTCTGGTAACATTGGAGGCTTAGTAGAAGCAGTGCCTCCCGTTCGTCCGCCCCACCTTGGACCGGGAATGGCCGTCTATTGAATTCGACAAATCCAGTTAACTAAGCAAGGTATCCATCGCCGACGCTGGCATCCAGCCCAACGGTATTCCCACAGGAGAACAGCTAGAATTGGCTACCGAGCGCAATCACTAGACATGCACTGGTTCTGTACTACAACGAGTTGGGTTGAAAAAACACGGAGCATGCGATCAAGGCGTGATTGCGCGAAAGTGGTGCTTACAACTTGTTTGTCCACCGTCTTAGCTTGGAGGGGGACCTCAATGGTTCTGGCCCCCGCTATCATACAGTACCAGTTTGTCATTCGCACTGATACCCCATGATGCGTTCAACGCTTCGCTATTCAGTCGGCTATCCGTGTAGTACTCAACTTTGCGAAATAGCGATAAGGGAATTTCAAGTCGATCAACAATCATTGTCAAGTGACATGGTTAGCCAGTACTGTACATTCCTTCGCCGGGGGCCTCCGGCTTAGTCATGTCTTCGGCATGTTCTCTATATCCCGCCTCTTTGGGGGCGGGGGGGGCAGCGGTGCTTACCTCCGGGTACACGGACTAAAGCATTTGTAGGGACGTTTGAAACAAACATTTAATGGGAAGATTGGCGTACAGAGATGTTGTATTTGCCAGTCGCATTAATTGCGCTTGTCTGGTAATGACTTGGGAAATTTTTTTTTTTTCGTGAGAGGTAAGCTCAAAGTGCCTTTAGTCTAAAGTGATTGAGATTGGTATTCGGAAGCAGAAAGACGTTTAGAGGATCATGATAATCATATGACATGAGAAATTCCTCTCAAGTTATGGTTTTCGATTCCGTCCTACGGCCATTAGGATGCCCTCACCTAAATCATTAGTTGGATGAGATGAACCGGAGGTGTTTTCTTTTTTCTTTTCTTTTCCTGTCTATGATACCTGATTGTAGCAATGCACATGCGAGGGAGGGCTCTCGAGTTGGTTGCGCATGAGCATTTAATGAATAGACAAGCATAGAGTAATATGACACTATCCTGTGAGATCCCCCTGGGATCAGGGGTTCTTCCATGGGTTTTTAGCATACGCGCTATCACTCCTCACTACACCGCTACTGCCCTCGATCTCCTCAAAGATCCCCAATAACTAAAGAGAAGATGACCTCAACTAGAGCGATATTTCAGACCACACGGATCAGTCGCAACAGCATGTGTAAATCTTTTTTTTTTTGCGGAACTTTCCACTTCGCCCTCTATCTGTAAATGGGATACACGAAAACAACGGGGGGAAATCCATGACTAGTTTTTTTCACAATTCTTCCTCTTCTCTTTTCTTCTTCTAAGCAGTGGGCCCCTTCCAAAATACCAGAAATAAATCCAGAATTGTAATGTAAAAAAAAGAATTTCTTGGCGGATAAATGACCCGGCCATACTTGACCGCGAATTCCCCTACCCAACGTCCCTCCCCCATGGACGGGTCTATTTGAAGCTTGTATTCGTGATGAGTTAGTGGAGGGAGGGAGAAGGGAAATTTATCATTTGTGCCGTTAGGCTTAACTTAGCTCACACCAATAAGAGCGCCGTAGTGTCTGAGCGAAAATTTATTCATTTATTTGTAAGCATGCTTGAAAAGGGGAGAGTGTTAATGATCGCTGGTGGGGGTATTGTTGGGTATCGTTGTCCTGCCTGCAACAGGTTGGGTCAAAGAGATTTCTGTACGTCGTGGTGCGGTGTGTATGATATAAAAGGAGTTTTCGTGTATTTCGGTGGAGATGCTTATCCCTCTTGGAAAAGGTCATGAGAGTCACTTGTACCGCACCCGTATGCTAGTACCTTCGCCTCCTTACCACAAATTATGGCGGTAGGGGTATCAAATGCTGTACCTGATCGATTATTTTTTTTTGTCTCTGTATTCTTTCATTGTCGGTGATCTTCTCGCGAGTGCTTGCTTGTGTTCCTCATAAACATAATCCGGACTGACTGCAACCTCACACTACCACTACCGGTCTATGGTAGTGGTTATACCGGCTTCCTGTCGAGAATAGAGGCCCTCCGCTTTTCTTCCCCATATCATTTTATATGTCTTCCCTCCGGCGCTTGCCAAGCGCCCCTATAGTTTGTTAACTGTTGAACGATTTTCACTCAAAGGTGCAATCACGAGAGATCAACCAAGCCTGGCGTAAACTTGGGTTTTGTTGTGTTTACTACAGTATCGCGTGGACCTTGTGTCTTTTGTAAAGCATTACTCGTATTGTCGGTGGTAGAAAAAAATATATCTCTAAGGCAGTAAACCTTTAGTATAAATTTATTAGCTCCCTGAGTTGCTTTTCCCGAGTAATGAGAGAAAATTGTTTTTGTTTTTTTTTCTGCTACCCCGCCGATCGCCAACATCACTCCCGAAGGCAGATCTAGAGTCGGATTTAACCATCTTGTGTGATATGATAGCGGCATTGGCAGGCCCCACACCCCTATTAAAGGCTAGGGCCTCCAATCTCCCAGTCCCCATAGGGCAGAAAATTTCAATTCTCCAACCCTACATGATGGATCGTCCAATAATAACCCATCGCGAGCGTGAATTGAACTTCTATGCTCCTGCTAATTGGAACGGGGGTTAATTGGTTCTCGACATCTTAACCACTGCACCGGCTAGGTATTTCATGCAGTGTTAGCCTGGGAACAAACACTTATCTCCTAAAAGAAATTTTTTGCTTTGGATAATGAGGGGGCGATAGTCTAATATGTGGGGGAGCCCGAGATGGTTCTCGGCTTCTTGGATGTCGTTGGTAAACAATTCTCTTTACTTCCAAATAGTCTGGTATGTTTGCTCCTACTCGGAATTGGTCACCAATCACTAAACCACCAACTTGGTAATTTCGAGATACCGCTCTATTGTGAGATACTGGTAGACACGAATTAGTAGCAAATGATTTTATTAGTGGAAAGATACCAAGAGGGGTGATTCTTTTAAGAACGCTGCTTACCTATTATGCTTGTTCGGGTCGTTTATTGTTCCGGCAATTCTGTCCTCCTTTCAGAGTTTACCGAGTCTGGAACAGACGCTATAAGCGCATGATTCAGAATCCCCTACTCGTAGAATAGTGGATATTGTGTACTGACTGGTGTATTGGTGCTACAACTACGCAGCGATATAGATGTTTGGATAGTTTTTTTTTCCCTCCTGACCCTCGGTAGCACTCATGGCCGCCAGCGGTAGGGTTCCTAGAATGGGACTCACAGTTTTGTTGTTTGACGGGTAGGCAGGTAGGTGACAGTGCGGAACAGAAAAAGGGGGGGAAGGGAAGGAAAGAAGAGTGGGAATTATTTCTTAATTAATTCTCTTTGTGATGTATTGTATTTTAATGAAATTATATCATTGAGGTTTAAATCACTTTGTCCATCAAGCGATTGATGCCGTTCAGGGAATTGTGTTCGACAGTCATGCCGTAAGTCACTAGTTCAATACGGGCAGATCGGTTGTGGCACTTGGGACTTTATCGGCATCAAAAGCCTCAGGTCGAGTGATGTGTTATGCCCGCAATCCCCCATGCAGCCTAGTATTTTTGGGATGTTCTTAATCAAAGAGTGCTTAGTCGGTACGTGCAGTACTGTGCTCGGGTATACGGGAGGTGCAATTTCACCTCAATTCTGGCGAAGGAGAGAGGAAAGATTCTCAAGCAAGTTGTTAACTAAACATGTGCGGATGCTCTGAAACATATCTAACAATATCTAACAATCAAACGGCCAGTACACCCCCAAAGTATTCCTCCAGCCAGCCAACAGCCTTCTTGCCCATGCCCTGTCCCCAAACCTCCGCGCCACCGACGTATCCATCAGGCCTAACCACAGTGGTCATTACCTCACCGCTACTTAGACCGCGCTTACCTGCCCACTTCTTTGTAGGGCTGACGTTTTCCCCCAAATCATCGTTATACAAAGTCCACTTGTAGGGCCTAAGTAGTGTTGGCAAGTCTGTAAATTCAATAGCCTTTTGTGGGCTTTGTGTGATGGCACCGAAGGTGAAGATACGGGAAAGGTTGGGGATAATGTAACGATCAGGTTGAATATACTCGTCGGCTTCGACTTTCGGAGGGGAGTATGGCGCGAGAAGGGAGTTCTTGGAGGCCCGGGAGATGACAGTGTTCGGGGCTGAGATTCCCTCACAGATCTCCGAGAGTAGTTGGAGGGCAGAGTGGTAGTCGCTTGTAAGAAAGTATACTCTGAACTGGTTCCTTAGTGGAATATCCAACTGAATATCTACCGGATTCGTATCTATATATCGGGTGGCTCTGGCCGGAAGAAGTAGTTCTCCGGGGATCAATCCGAGCCCGGATGTTGAACAAGGAGTTGTGAGGGGGGTATTGGCATCATAGATTGCGCCTACACCGGAAATAAAGCGAATGTTTTTGGTAAAGTTTTCCGCAAGGGCTACTTGGTCGTTCTTTACGAAAGCGTTTGCATGCTCGTAATCGAAGGATATAAGATCTTGAGCAATCTTGCGGCGCTCTGCCGGGTAGGACTCTAGAAGAGAGGTTGGTGAAACAGAGTTCAGCACTAAGGATAGTTTCCAAGCGAGATTGAAAGTGTCATGCATGGAAACATTCATTCCTTGCGCGGCTTTGGGCGAATGGGTGTGAGAGGCATCTCCGGCGATGAAAACACGGTTTGCGTGAGAGAAATTTGACGCGATTCTTTGGCCAACTTAAAATAACTTAGTAGGGTCCAAAAGCAGGGGGCAATGGAATTACTTTGGTAACAGCCAAACCATTCAACACTCTTCCAGTCCACGCTGAATGGCGCAAGTATTTCTTTCCCGCGGGCCATGACAAAATCTTGATTCGCAATAGCCTTGGATATTGTGCTTTCTGAGCCGGTGCTGAGCTCAATGTAGAGACGGGTCATGTTCCTCTCCCGGGGAATAGACAGAATAGTTCCTTTGTCGTGGGAAGAAATAATGCTATGCCTGTCAGTGCCATCTCTCGAATAGTAAAGAAAGATTTACCATTTGCTCCATAAATCCGGGAAATCCGTCTCAATAACCCCGTCCAAGACTCCCCAAAACACATCCACACTCTCACCCTGCATCTTGTTTCCTGGCATACTACGTCTGACGGCACTATGCGCACCATCGCACCCGATAAGATACCTTGCCCTGGTAATCCTGTCTCTTCCGTTGTGCTTGTACTTGGCGATGACGGGATATTCAGCATTCGGGTTTTCGTCAAGGATGTACGAATCAAATGTGCTCGACCGTTGAACGCGGACATCCCGAGCCTCCATGTCCTCCAGGAACAATTCCTCAATCATTCCCTGATGCACAAGTAGAATATACGGCTCCAATACGTCCACTACCGGCGGGAAGTGAAAATCGCGATTGGTGCGATGAAGCTTTTTGTCGGGGTAGGAATTCCAGAAGGAGTAATCATAGATCTTGACACCCTTTCTTAATATTCCATCGGCAATCCCGAGTTGTTTGAAGGTCTCGAGTGTCTTTGGTTGGAGGCCATCTGCTCGTCCGGTGGTGGTCTTGCTGACCCGCTCATCGATTATTTTAATGGGAGTTCCTGCTCGAACGAGTTGTGCCCTTAAATCACAATCAATTAGCTCGAGGAACAAGCGATTCAGGGGAGTTGGAATGGAATACGCAAGCATGAGGCCGGCAGGGCCAGCTCCCACGACAAGAACATCGGTGGTCTCAGTGTTGGTATGGTTCTCGGGAGTTCTTGTAGGGGACATTTCGGAGTCTAATGTGTCGGGTGACTTGTAGGGAAATGCTAAGGTCTGCCTTTTACGAGGAGTATTGGGGGGTGGGGGGGGGGGGGGGCGGTTACTAGCGGTGTTCGGTAGTAGAAGTAGAAGCGTGGGGAGAAAGAAAAGTCTGGGTGGTGTGAACGCGTGATTGAAAAGTTGACGGTGTAGGCGGTTGTGGGGCCGGAGGAAAAGCTTCATGGGGTGTATACATTGGGACAAAACAACAGGGTGGTAGAATGTTTAGGAGAATATAATGATACTATTGTGATAATTCAGTGCAGAGTGTCAGGAAAACTTGGGCTGTGAATATGGAGGGATTAGCTATTTGATGGTGGGGTTGAGGTCAGAGTTGAGAGGTGGAAAGTGATGGTGGAATGCGAGAGCCTCAGGCGGCTTCTTCCGAGACCCGGGGCAAACAATGCCGTATGATAGTCTACCGCACAGGTACAGTACATACCAGTATTATACCACGATGGGTAAGCGCCTGTGTATTGGCAGCAGGATTTCTAATAGGTGAGAATGAATATGGCATGATAGGGTGTGGTAAATAACCAATATACCGGTATAGGTACTGTATGGAATAGGATATTCTACGGTCATGGAAATTGTGGGACCTGGGTTGTATCTTTTTCTTTTTCTTTTTTGTTCTGTACTCGAGTAGTAGTACTAGTACCGGTACTTGTATGACACTCGTACCGGTATTTACTATTGTGATTCGCCATCTCGGCTGGGTCATGATTCAGAGACAAAAGTTCTTAAGAAGGATTACCTAGTCCTCTCCTGACGCGGTACTCGTACAGCGTGAGTGGTTCGGCTATGTTGGATCTCATCAATAGCTTTTGCAATTCCGTAAACTTGACGGGTTGAACCTATGTTGGGTTGATGTCACTACCGTACTGTACGAGTATAGTACGATACCGTACAATATTTGCAGGGATATTCGTTACATGACGGAGATAGCGAATCTCAAGAGTAAATATGGTACCGGCACTTGTACTGTACTCGGTGTACTATACTCGAGCACTGAGTGGGGTTCCGGAGGGTCATTCTCGTGCTGCATTGTACCCGTACTGTACTGCACTGTACGGTGCACACCTCAACCTAGCAAGCTATCATACCCGTACCAGTGAACCCTCTAATTTTGATTCACGTCCCCCATACCCTCCGCTTGTGTTGGTATTAGGTCTTTGACTAAAAACTCAGCAATATGGAGCCTCTTAGTTACCGGTTGTCTGACTCTCTTCCTTCTTCCCTACATACTGCTGCCATTCCGGTTTTTAAGCTCCAACCGTGACTTGATCGGATGTCACTAACTAGGAAATCCGCAATGGGGCCAAATCGGCCTGGCTCGACTGGCACGCCTCATGAACACGCGCCTTTGATTCCCCACATCAATCCTACCGTGTCCGACTCTCTGAATCCCTATTCGCGCGCGAATTTCGGTTTTCATAGAAGAAGAAGTTCTGTTCCCACGGCCACTTCGTCCGCTTCTCATCCCGATATCGCTTACTCTAGGCCTGTTAGCGGAGGAGGGTCCGTATCTGACAACCAAAATACCCAGAGTAGTGGTGCTTCTCCACCTGAACCAGGAAGAACTAGGCGCTTCCGAGCATTTGTTGACGACGACGAGAAGGAGGGCGGGACCCAGGATCCCAATCGCACTGTGGCTACGCAATCGCTCATAACTCAAATTGAAGGATATAATTGCGCTAGGGCTCCTACCCCACTCACGTTGACTCGGCATCGCCGCTTCTCTAGTGTTTCCGGTAATAGAATGGCATCCTACTTTGGTTTTGCGAGGGCCCAACATTCGGCATCTTTGCCATCAGAAGAAGATAGTAAAAGATGTATGTCGGACCCGGAGACTCGGTCAGGAGTGACTGTGCGCGGAAGCGACATGGCCTTTTCTGGGAATGGGGCAGCAGAAAATCATCCGAGGACTGATCCTGTTAGATTGCGAGACCCTTCAAATTCTGAATCGAGTAATGCGGTCAAGGTGGTCAAGGAGCCGGTCTGGAAGATAAACTGCGAGAAAAAACGTGCGGAACGTGAGCGGTTGATCGCTTTCTTCAGAATTCCCCAAAGGAGGATTCCACCGCCCTCTGAGTTTCCAAAAGTTTTCAACTTCTTTGAGTGGCGTCTCAACCATGAGCTTTTCTCGAATAGAGATTTCGAGATGACTGAGCTTGCGGATATTGAACAGGTGCTACAGAGGCTACGAACTGGGCAATGGAGGTGTGTCGATGTGATGTTCGCGTATATCAGGCGGTAGGCTGCCTGGAAAGATCGAAATAGTTGAGAATTAGGGACTAATTTGAGTTTACAGTGCAACAATCATCCACCAATTGGTATATTTCCTTTCATGAGAGCTAGATATCCAATACTAATTTCGGTAGACCAACTGCTTGACCGAGATCATGTTTGCGGAAGCTATAAGGAGAGCACAAGCATTAGATAACTTACCACCGGGCCGGCGCGGTCCCCTTCATGGCTTACCCTTCACGGTCAAAGATCAGTTCAATGTGCCTGGCTTTGATTCAACCATCGGATACGCATCATTTATTGGCAATGCAAAAGACTTGCCTCCATCAACATTGGTTGAAGTTCTACAGGGACAAGGAGCAATAGTTTTTGCTAAGACAAATGTCCCACAGAGTTTGATGTGGTGTGAGACCGACAACAATGTATGGGGGCGTACAAACAACCCAAGAAATCTCAACTATACACCTGGTGGGAGCACTGGAGGCGAGGCTGTTCTCCTCGCAATGAAAGGTACTCTTGTGGGCTGGGGGACAGATATTGGTGGAAGTTGCAGGATCCCGTCTGCTTTGGTGGGATGTTGGGGGCTCCGGCCAAGTGTGAGTTGTCTTTTCCTCTGCAATTATTCCGTGCTGACAAAAAATAGAGCTACAGACTTCCATACTATGGTGTTACGGTCTCTACTGATGGGCAAGAGCACGTCCCCTCTGTAATTGGGCCAATGGCTCGTACTCCTCAATCACTCACCTTCATCACGCGTCAAGTGATCCAATCGGATACCCATAATCTTGATCCAAAAGTGGTCCCAATACCTTGGCGGGAAGATCTTTACCGGTCGACACTGCTGAGCAAGAAACTCCGGATCGGCCTCATGCTTGATGATGGGGTTGTCAGAGTTCACCCTCCAATTGCCCGGCTCCTCAAGTGGGTCGCCACCGTCCTCAAAAATAATGGCCATGAGATTATTCCGTGGAAACCAGATCTCCACTGTGAAGGTATCGCGGTAATGGACGAATTCTACAGAGCTGATGGCGGCGCGGACGTTCGTTCAGCCATTGAGGCTTCTGGAGAAAATTACATAGAGCATTGCCAGAAGCTCTTTGGTCCGCAAATGGCTGCTAACGCGATAGATTTACCTTCGTACTGGAAACTCGTGGTCGAGAAGCGCAAAATTCAAAAGGCGTACCTTGATCGTTGGAATAATGCAGGACTTGATCTTATTTTGTCGCCCGTAATGCCTCACGTTGCTGTTAAGCATAAGGATACTCTATGGGTGGGCTATACCAAGATCTGGAACGTGCTCGATTACACCGCCGTTGTGCTTCCGAACTTTGGCTATGTTTTAGCAGATGCAATCAAGATCCATGAAACAGACTTCGAGTGGAAGCAGTATAAGCCGAGAAACAACTTTGATGCAGCTAATTGGAGATTGTGTTTGTTTCTCATATTTCTAAAAGCACGGGTCACAGCTAATAGGCTTTCTAGACGATCCGCGCGAAATGTATAACCAACCCATTGCAATGCAGCTCGTCGCTAGGCGCTACGAAGAGGAAAAGGTTTTAGGCGGCATGCAGTTGATATCCAACGCCATGGAGGAGCGTAAAGAAATCAAAGACGACGCGTATTTCGATATAATTGAACCTGCCGGTCATTATGATGGAAAAGTTTACAACCCCTTTAAACTACATCTGCATGGACTGTACACCGGCGAGGTACCATCAGCGCCCAGAAGGGAGACCCCAGTTCAGCGGATCGCCCACAGTTTACCAACTGAATCTATCAGGAGGATGGAGGTTGAAGATCCAGAATGCGAATACTCCTCTGAAATAGAGAGTTCCGACGGACTTTCAACCATTCCCGAAGCGCCTTCCTGCACGGCATCGGAACTGGCCGATAGCGTAGAATCGGAACTTGCCTCTGGCGTGGAATCTGTGGCGGGGACGGTTACCCCATCTATTTGTTCTGCTGACTCATTTGTTACTGCGAGGTCGTCATCTGGGGATTGAGGTATCTCCGTGTCATTACCCAAATGCGGAATCGGGAACACGAATATGGATTCTAAATAAATAAGTAAACCATCAATGCGCTGATAGAACTTGACCCGTCTTGTGTGATTTTCTACCAAATAGCTTCCAGTTTAGAGGTGTAGATACACAGTCCTACCCGGTGAGGTCTTGCACTTGGGTTGTGGCACGGGTAGTGGGCCAAGCGCTGGAGTTATTCTCGAGTGGGCCAACGCCGAACGTTGCGAAAATTTCTGTTATGGTTTACCCCCACTCCTAATGGGGTGCCACACTACTGCACGTGTCAGGACCTTGCATCAAGCCAATAATTTGATCATCCATTTCTCCATCAATCCCTGCTCCCTGCTCACCATCCCCCATCATCACCGCCATCAAAGTAGCCCAACAATAATCCCACCACTACCCGATGTCCGACCGCCTTACTTCTCCATGGAGTGTACGTTGCGAACCGGCTCGTCCTGACCTCTCCCACTGCGTGAATCGGCAATACAAAAATCTCCCTTTCTCTTCACACGCGCGGTCCGTAGATGAAGTATTTGTCCTCCCCACTTCTCAATCCGACAGGTGAAGGAAGGAGTACTTTTGGGGGGGTGTTACAGTATTACAGGAGATTGTAATACAATGGTTTATACGAGGACATAAGGTGTTTTCGTGCGGTAATGTGTGTTGGGAGGGAATGGGCGAGCACACTTTGAGTTTCGAATAAACCCTGGGGTAACCGGTCTTCCAGAACTATATTCCTCGATATATTTGCACTTATTGCTCCATGAGTCCGGCGCTTTCCAGGTGCGGATCCTGTAAAGTGGTGTAACCGGAGGGCGAAACACTGTTCTCGTGGGATAAGGTCACATCAGCATTCCTCGAATCCATCGCTGGGATAGATGGAGCTGGTGTGAAGGGGGGTTGTTTGAATAGGGACTAAATCAATCTGAATATTAAAGGTAATCGAGTGATAACCCATGATATCAGGGAGTGTCGTACACTCAGGGGTATGTGATACAGTATCATACTTGGTAGTGGCGGGAGGTGGGGCTGCGCAGTTTGAAGATTTTATCCCACAAACTTGTTTTCTTTGTGGGGATGTTCTCGCGTTTCATTGGCCTGGGCGCGGGAGATATGACGTTATTATGCTAGTACTCTCTGCATTTGCTGGTTACTAAAAAAATCTCCACTGTCATATCTATGCAACACTCTCCTTGTGGTCTTATCTCTGGTTAGGTTTACATAGCGCTGGTGGATTTGGTGTCTACCGTGAGGGTGAGCAGGTTCTTCGGAGGTGGTGGTAATGACTTGTAAAACTACCTTTTCTTCACGCTTATCTCGCACGTGCGCAGCTAGGGACGATCTCGACAACGGAATACCGGTATCCCAAGGACATAGCCGAGCGAACAGAAAAACTAGGGAGATGGCTAATTTTGTTTCTCCTATTCTTTCTCCACTCGTGTACGAAGGGGCCGATTTTGTGCGTTTCCGATTGGTATCTGCCGGTTAGGAGGGTTGGCTGATTGTTTTTTTTCCTTTCCCGACCTTGTTTTATACCTTCAATGCCACCCTTCTGCTTATAGCTCGTGTCTTCTAAATGGACAAAAATTAAATCATGCTAACTTCCCCCCCATGGTTGCCTTCGCCGCCATGGGCCACGTCCTAGAAGCTGGCCGCGCTGCTTTAAGCAGTAACCCGTTGGGGCTGAGTTTCGTGGTAATGGAGCTCAAACCCTGGGCGAACATGGAGGTCAAACTAGATAAGATTTTCCTTGAGGTTCTTAAGCTCCCTTAGGAAGTTTAGGGGAAAGTTCGGGGAGTTGGGGGCTGAAGCGGTTGAGGGGGGGAATGAAGAGCAGAAAGGGTCGGAGGCTGTAGTGGGTATTAAGAAGAGAGAGGGGTAAATTGGAGGTGTGCATCTGGCAGCAAAGGGGCTCAGGAAGAGATTGGAGGTGAGGTGAGAGATGAGTGAAGGAGTCTGTGAAGGGGAAAGAGAGCGAGGATAGAGTACCGTATTTACTCGGTTTATTTGGACGGTCGCCAAGAAGTGGCGCCGCCAGCACGCAATATCAGACAGGGGTACCTTGTAATGTCTATAATGCCTATATTACAAGCCTTGAGAGTACTGGAAATGAGGAAAAAGATTGCTGGGCCGGTCCTAGATGGGCAAAATGCTTCCACCAGGTTCAAATTGAAGATTGTCTGTTGCAAGCCACTCATGGTGATATTCCTCGCACCGCCAGAAGAATTCAAGGAACTCAGACTCCGAGTTCTCCTGCCCATCACAGTTGCCGTTATTGGTATGGCTAGCCTGTTCTCCTTCGAGCAGCGGAAGAGCTCGGTAATCTTGACCCTCCTGATAGCAGGGGGGGACTACTAAATCCTGTTGCCAGTCCCCCACCTCAATCCTATCGAATCCCTTAATCTTAAGCTTATGATCCTGACTCCCATCAATAGGGAGAGTAAGGCCAACATCCTGAAATGACTTTTGTACTAGGAGGTGCTTTTCGGAGCAAAATGCGTGCCATGCCTGTGCTACCACATGAGTTACCATAACCCGTTTATCGCTGACAGACCAAGTTTCATTGTCTACCCGCTCATCTATATACTGCTCGGTAAAGTCCCGCAGATACTGCTTAAAGGGCTTGTTAACTGCTGTATCGAGAGGCTGAAGAAGACCAGTACAGCCTCCAGGAATAAGGGAGGTGATAACCCCATTTTCTTTGAGTTTTGAGAGTACGGCCGTGGTCTTGTGGAAAGATGCAACGTCTATGACAAGTAGGCTGCGTTTGCCCAGGACTTGGGGGTCTGAGGCTGTCCTGGACTTAACATTCAAGGAAGGGAATAGCTCCTGGTCGAGAAACTGTAAAAAAAAGGTCTTCATTGTTATACGCCGTTGGGTTAAACTCCACAGTAACGTCAGGGTTCCAAAGATGTCCCTCCTGTTTCCGAATATTGTCACCAGTCTTGCCGTGAAAGATAAGCTTTGGCTTGATTCATGGAATTCCATCAGAAAAGATATATAGAACCAATGTTGCCTGACATTTATCCCAGCTGCTACGGTCTGTTTTACCAGCCACAGTTCTACTACCCACAAAGTTATACGTTCTTCCATCAAGATATTCAAAGGGGATGGGAGTTTCATCAAGGTTGAGGATTCGAGAGGCAGGAAAGCATCCAATATCTGTTATCAGATGTTCACGCTCGAGAAAGTTGCGGGGTTGAGAATTCCGCTAATTAAATTGTAGCCAATTGATAACAAGTCAGTGATATTCGACAGGTAGCCGTGATGCAGTCTTCGTATTCGCATGAGAGGAAATCCGCTAACGTTTCTGAAACCTCAAAAACCAGCCATTTGAAAATACAAAGAGTACTTCATTGTCCCCCCCATAGTGCTTATGAAAAAGCTGATGGGTAGTCTGTCAGAACCACCTATGACCCACAACTCTGCCTACTTGCCGGCGTGCAACGAACTCTTTAAAGAGCTCTTCCTCCATCTGAGGCCACTGACAAATCCAGTATGCATTTTCTGCTTGATATGTTTTACCACGTTGCAGGACAATTTCGTCCTGCTCCTGCCACCAACTGTGTATTGTAACGTGTTCGCAAGGTGCTAGTCATGTTATCGGTAAAGGTACGATAGTTGGCAGGTGGCGTGGTCTACCAGAGAGGAGGTGGGAGCTGAGAACTAAAGGAGGCTTCGAGGGTGTACTGAGGAATAAAGAAGTAACCGTTCAACCAATTATATTGAAATACTGTCTGTCGAAGTCTGCCTTTTCCATCGTGAGATCAGGTGGTCTTTTAAATACACAAGTCTTTGTCCATGTCTAGCATAAACGAAGCTAATCAAAGATATCAAGCGATATTCTTTGGTAAAACAAACCAAGTATCAAAACGATACTTAAAACAATACATAAAACAAAACTAAGTATTAAACAATACTTAAAACAATCCAAGTATCAAAGCGATACTTAAAACAAAATATAAAACAAATCTAAGTATCAAACGATACTTTAAAACAAACCAAGTATCAAAGCGATACTTAAAACAAAACATAAAACAAAACTAATAACCGAGTACCCGTACCGGTTACATGTATAGTAGCTTTTGGAATTTTAAAATATCGTGCTGCCTCACCATGGCTTGGTCGACGGTACTCTGTTGTCTTACTACTAGGGTTGATGGGTATCTGATGATGTGTTAAAAACATCAGAACTTCAATTTTTTTTTCTCGGCTATAGGACCGGCGAACCTGTTTATACAATTAGAATTCCGGGCTTTTTCCCCTTTGTAATAGAAGTGGTAAACCTTCTTAATTGGACCCCTTGGCTTATAGATTCGCTCAAGCAAAGCCTTTGGTTTGGGGCCATGCCGAGTTGCATTTTGTTGGTCACTGTTACCCGAGATTGGATGGTTCCCAAGCCTCTGAATATTCACCGTACTAAAGGTTGATTGGTGGAGGACTGGGTAGGCAGTGATTATTTTAGGCGAGAAGATAACAAGGATAATGAGAAGAAAGCTGACTACTGGTATTTGCTGAAGAGTGACCAACATGGTGAGTGAGGTTGGAGTTGCACAAAATATGACTTGACGCATGATTGTGGAAGAGGAGGTGAGGTTAGAACCCCCTCCCAATATAGCCTAGTCTCACTGTTGAGTGATCACAAACACAGCCAAAATAGGTCAAGGGCTTGAGCAAATCATTGTGTGATCCGTGAAAATCATCTTGGCGACCGTCCAAATAAACCGAGTAAATACGGTATGGCTTGGAGGGTATTAAGAAGGACGAGACTGTCTTGTGGGAGGGTATGGCGAAATTGCCCGCTTTTCGGCGAGGAAGGGAAATGAAGGAAGGACTCCCCGGGAAAGGTTACTGTCGGGCAGAAGGAAGGAAAATAAAGGCATCTTTTAAAAGCAGCGCCACAAAAAATGTGAACTAATAATAGGGGAATGGAGGCTTGCTGATATAATTGACGCAAGTGAAAATGATCAGACGTGGCC